AGGGAGGTGGTGGAAGGCCGGGGGCGGGCGCGGGCGGCTCACCGCTCTCAGGATGCTGACGGCCTCCTTGCTGAGCCAGACGGGGTAGAGCACGTCGTCATGGAGGATGGACTCAAACAGGTCATCCTCGTTGTCGGCCTCGAACGGGGGCTGCCCAGCCATCATCTCGTACATCAGCACCCCCAGCGCCCACCAGTCCACCGAGGGGCCGTACTCCAGCTCCTGCAGGATCTGCTCGGGAAACGGGGGACGTCAGAGCGCAGCAGAGACTGCGGCCCACAGCCACACCTGCGCCACGCGCCCGGGCAGAGCCGGGCCCTCCTCTCCGGCTCGGCTCGCTCCCTCACAGAGCAGAGCCCCGGGTTCGGAGAGGCAGGCGGCAGCTGAGCGTGGGAGGCACTGTGCCGGGGGCCAACTAGCAACCCTCCAAAGTCAGTACCTACAGTCTGTCCCCCAGCGGAGACAATCCGCTGTTTCTTTGTTTGAGCGCCTTGGCTCAGGGGACTCTGAGTGCTAAGGAGGCCACTCTCCAGCCTCCAGGAGGCGGCACAACTGAGTTCTATGCCTCAGCAGGTGATGAGGAGGTGCCCCCAGGTGAACTGTGGGTGCTCAGACAGGATGGCTCTGTGGGAAGCACAAAGAGGCCCCGCTCACTCTTCCCCAGGTCTTCCAGAGCCTTCCCATTTGAGTGGCACCTTTCGTAAAAGTCCTTTTAGGCTTGGCCCTAATTGTCCGCTTTCTAATCGGCTTGTCTGTGATGGAGCTGGTAAGAAGGAGAAGGCTTTGCACGCCATGGGAGGACACCCAGAGCGGGAGCTCACCCTGAGTGGGTCAGAGCTGGAGCAGAAGAGAAGGGCAGGCACTGGGTCTGGTGCCAGGCATTACCTAGGGCTGGCTGCCATTCCCGGGGAGTGGGGGCTGGGCGTGGAGAAAGGAGAGGGTGTGATGGGGGTTAGCCAAGGGCATGTGGTGGGAAGAGAAGCCCTGGGGCAGAGGTGGCGCCTCAGAAGCTGTCTCTGGTTTCAGGTTAGCCTGCACCTCACACCCCCTCCTCTTTGAATGGAGGCTTATGCTTTCTGAAGCCTATTCACATTCCATGCTTTAATCTCATTAGATCCTCAAAACATCTTGATGAGGTGGGTAGGGCAGGAATTGTTATTCCCATCTGAAAGGTGAAGAACCTGAGGGTCAAAAACGTTTTGTGACTTGATCAAGGTCACATGAGGGCACGAGTGTTCAAGTCTGGCCTGGGATCTCAACTCTCAAGTCTATGCTTTCCCCACCCCACCGCACAACCCAGCAACAGTGGTAATGATGGAGCCCCCATTTATTAGCCAGTGCCTGCTGTGGACCGGGCACCGTGCTAAATGCATTAAAGGCACACTTCCACTTAATCTTCCCCGCAGCCCTCGCTAAAGGTAGCAATATCTTTATCAGCTGTAACTTGCCTACATAAGGCCGGGGATTATTAGCCAGTTCACGTGCAGTGGTGATTCTGCAGAGTGGGCACAAGTGTAGAATGGGAAGAAGAGTGTCTGGGCCTCCTAAATGAGATCAGAGTTGTTCATTGTCAGTCTCGCCAATGGAGTGCCTTCCATGAAAGTTGGGTGGGTGTTTTGTTCATCATAAAGTGAATGCTTGTCTTGGGCTGGGTCCTTAATTACTACACTGGCCTGTCAACCCTTTGACTCTGGTATCAGCTCAGAGGGACTGGAAAGCATCCTGACGATGAAGGATGAATGAGGAAGATGCTGAAAAAGCCGGTCCCAGTTGAGAGCCTTGGCTTTCACTGATTGATTTCTCCTTGTGGGTTAAATTCCTAGCGTTCCTGCTAAGGGAGCACACTAGTAGAGACTGACGGAAATCTCTACTCTTCAAATCTTAGAAGATACAGGCTCTAATGAGAATTTGTCTATAACTCGATCCTCATTTCTCTGACCCTCCCCAGGCCTCCCCCGGTCTGGTCCGGTTTGTGAAGTCTCTCAACTGTCCTTCGGTCTCACTCTGCCCTCTTAGCCACACTGCTGATGCCCATCTTCTTCTGGGGACAGATCTGGTTACAACCCTTCTACCCTGGGAAGCCCTTAGTGGACCCACAGATCCTACGGGATAAGGGCCCTTTATTCTAATCTCGTTCATTGCTAAGAGCGCTAAGAACTCTGTTCTAGCCATACTGTTTTCCTTTCTTTAAAAAGGCCAAGAATGTTCTCATGCCTTGTCTTTGCTCACGTTGGAGTGTCCCAAGTTCTCATTCATTTATTCATTCAACAAACCATTCTTAAGAGCCAGGTTTGTGTTCTGAATCCAGGAAGTACCCAGATTAGAAACACAGCTCTTGCCCTAAAGGATTCATAGCCCCGGGATGCTGGGCCTCCTCCCCTGCCCACCCCCACTCAACCCTCCCTATTGTTTTCAGGAATGTTCCCCACCCCCACCACCAAAGGAAATCCTGCTAATTCTTTACAACTCAAGTCATTCACCAGGTGCTCCAAGGAGCCTTCCCTGATCCCCGAGGATACCATCTTGTGTTTCGAACCTACTGATTTCTACTTAATTAGTTGTTTACTTACCTGTCACTCCCTCTAGACCAAAAGTTCCTTTAGGAGAGTGACCGTTGTCTAGGTCAATTCTTTATCCCCACATTGCTTTGTGTCTAGCAGGTGCTCAAACAATGCCCACTGAAAGGAAATGCAATCTAAATGTACTAACACACACCTACCCACCATGGGCAATGCTTCATGGGGATTGGTATACTTCCTTCCCATCTTTCATGTATAACCACCCTCAAGACCATTTTTATTAAGTATGCATAATAGGCTATGTTTTAAATCTGAATCATATCCCACTAGGTACCTCTGAGTTAGGCAAGCTTGACCTGGAGAAACTTAAGGCAAACAAACACTTCATGATGAACAAAATATCTCAACAACTTTCACAAGTGGCAACTCATTGGTGAGGCTCAAAATGAACATCTCTGATCTCCATTATAATGAGGCAGTTAATCTCCTCCTACCCTTCCTTCATCCTGTGTGCTCCCAACGTAGGATCGCCACTACACTAGAAATAGCAAATTACTCCTGGCTTTCTTGTAGGCAAATTATAGCTAAATTTATTGCTGCCTTTATCAACGGTGTTCCTTTAGTCTGATTAGAAGTAGAAACTGATACAAGTCAACAAATTTCTCTTGGTCCTAGTTCCATTGGTAGTTCTGAACTGGAATAAAGGAGAAATAATTAGGACTTGCCCAGATTTGGGGTATGGCCAGTTACTTTCAGCTCACCCATTCTCTCCCCGATCACCCCCACTTCCTTATGGAGAAATCAGCAAGCTTCTTCTCCTTCCCTGGAATCCATCCTGGTTTTCTAGAGCCTTCCCCGAGCGTATCAGGTGGCCCCAGTCCATGGGGATGAAGCCCTGGCTCAGCCATGGCAGCAGGAGGAGGTGGCCCTTGCACAAGGTCTTACCTCGGGAGCGATGTAGTCAGGAGTCCCACAGAATGTGGTGGTCGTCACACCATTTAGAATCCCTTCCTTGCACATCCCAAAGTCGGCCAGCTTGCAGTGACCTTCTGCATCCAGAAGGATGTTATCCAGTTTCAAATCCCTGTAAGACAGGCCAGAAGCACACGATTAATGCCGCACTCACCCCAATAGGGTCTTCTTGAGTTGGAGAGAGGTGTGCATCTCAGGGAAATCTGCTCCAGGAAAGTCCTGAGCAGCCAACTTGCCCACGATGACCAAGCCCTAAAGGTGTCTCCATTCTCCCCAACACGAGGGAGGAGCTTCTGCAACCCAAGGACTGCTGTGGCGTAACAAAGTTAGTAGCTATTAATTGAAGCTACAGTATGTGCTGAGATTCACATTATGGAGGCCGTGATATAAGAGAAAGAAGCAACTTATGCCCCTGCCTTCCTGAGTTAACCATGTGGATCACCTGGAGGAATGAGACTGACACATGTTAACATCAGTGAGTCAGATAAAACCACATAAGAGTCAGATGCTACTTTATAGAGCACTAACTATATGAGCTGTTGCATTTCAGGGGAGGGGTCAGTGACGGCTGGTGCAGGCAGGAGGGCTTCCAGGAAACAGTGACTCTCAAGAGGAGCTTGGATAGACAGGAAGGTCTGGAAAGAGAAAAGGTGGGAGGAAGGAGAAGACCAACACAGTAGATGCAAAAAGTAGTGAAGAGATCAGAGAATTGGGTCCCAGTGAATGGTGAGGCAAGACAGGCATGTTGAAACCACCCACAACGAGCCTCGATGCCGGGAAGAGGGGTTTGACGCTTATGCTGAGGGCACTGGGAGCCCTGCCTGCATGTGCACCATCTATTTGCAAGACCAGTCTTTCAGGAGCAAGCAGGCTGAGTAGGGGTGGGTCTGGGGCAGGAAGGAACACTCTAGAGCCCGGGTGGTTCTGTGCAGAGTGAGGACTGTGGTGGCAGCTGGATCAACTGGTTCAGCTCCCTCGTGGCCCCTGTTAGTTTGGGGCTCTGTGTAAAATCTTGTATAAAATACGGGGTTCTGGCTAAGAATTCCCTACCAAGCAAGTCTGCAAACCCCAGACCTGTACCATAGAACCTAGACTCTTGAATGGAGGTGCCCCCCCCTCCCCCCGGGACTTCCTCAGGAGCCACTCTGGGGTGGGAGGGTTCTTGAAAAGAAGGCCCACTCTCCTGCACAGGGAGCAAGAGCGGCCTTTTTCCCAAGCCTGCTGGCGCCTGGCCTTCAGCTCCTCCCCCATCAGGAATCCAGGCCTGAGTGCAAAGGTGGGGCAGGAAGCGTTTGGGGACTGCCTGTCTTGCACCCATGGCCCCATTTCCACTTACAGCTGGGACTTCTTGAGAGAAGAGCACGAAAATGTGCTGCTCTAAGCAAAGGCTCATGCACTACAGAGAGAACAGGGAGCCCGACAGCCCAGTCCCTGCCACGGAGGTCCCTGACCCCCCACTGGCCACTGTGTGTGGTCAAGGCTGGGAGTGGGGAGCAGTGACATGAATACCAGCTTGGCTCCGGCACAGGCGGCCTGGGTTTTAATCAATGTTGTGGCCTGGTCCTGGCAAAGTCACCTTGTTGCTCTGTCATCTTATCTGTCAGGTCGGACCAGATACAGTCTTGCTCCCAGGCTTGCTCCAGCGTGAAAAGCAGCAGGTCTCAAATCCTCTTATGCCCATTTCCTTCATGAAGAAGCTGAGCTAGAGGGACCAGGTGCCCTGTCTGCCCACCGGCAAATGCTGGAGTCCTTGAGAGGCGGACACAGGCCCAGCGAGCTATGGCCCCTTCACGCTCTCGAATCTAGAGTTGCCTTTCCAAGACCCACGTGTAGGCATAAGGATCACCATGGCAACACTCATCGTAATAGTAACAACAACAACAACATGTGGAAGGCACCCGTCTACAAGCCACATTCCTTCTGAACAATGCTGAGAGTTAGGAAGAGCACACTTGGCTATTACTGGGGCGGAAACAAGTAAATAGAAGCTGGAAGAAAGTAAGCGACTTCTGTAAAGTGACAGGGTGTTGGAGGAACTAGGACTGAACGCAGGTCCCCAGCTCCGGAAGCGGGCGTTCTTGCCCGTGTGCTACACGTCTTCCGACGCCAGCCGTCAGCCCCAGCTTTTTAAGGCCCCACGCCACGGCTCAGAGTGCTCTCTTGTAAAGCCTCTGTTATGTCCTAGAAAGGGCTGTTCTAATTCGTAGGAATGGAACAGACTCCGAAGAGTCCGCACCAGCCTGAACCTTGCCCTTGTTCTGAAAACTGAGACTCAGCCTTTCCTTCAGCTCAGGGCAGGAGAAGGGGGGCCGTCTTCTTTCTCCCCACCTCCCGCTCTTCTTTCCCTGCCCTGGGCCCCTGCACACCATCCCTTTGCTTCCTGCCCCCTCTCCCTGGGGGAAGCGCTGCTCTTGCCGAAGGCACAGGGTGGCCACCGTAGAGGACAGTGCTCGGCAGGCCGTTGCCCCTCTGCTGTGGTGAAGGGAGGCCGGAGGCCAGAAGGTTCCTTCCCACCATCCTGCCACTGAGGCTTGACGTCCCACCACGAGTCACTCCCCGAAGTCCCCCTCCACCGTCTGTATTTCTCAAAAACTAACTCCCAACACAAAACCAAGCCCCATGGAAGAGACAGTGGCTCGTGTTCCTTTCCTTTGTGACAGGAAGATTAGTGAAGCCGGAAAGACCTCTGGGGGCCAGAAGGGCCTTTCCTAGAACTTTGGTCCTTTGGGGGTGTTCAGTCTCATGAAAAAGAAAAATAGTGACACTGCTGGGACCAGATTTGTCTGGTCCTAGGCTCTCAGTAAGCTCCTGCACGGATGCCAGGGAAGCCCAGGCCATGCTTGCTCAGAGAAAACAGGAGGAAAAAATGCCCTTCCCTTCAAGGGGTGGGGGATGAGGGCTGCTGAGAAGGCGGCGTCCTCAGGTCTGCTTGCTGCACAGCTGGCTGAAGGCTGTCCCCTCCTGGTTCCCCCCTTCTCCTTCCCGGCACAGCTGCCCAGGACCCCCGGCTTTCTACTTCCTATCCCTGGGCCACGCTTCTCCCACTTGTTGGCTTTCAGTGCTGCCTCTTCGCTGGGGCCCAAGTCTCCCTGGGAAGGGCGTCAGGAACAGATGTCTCCCCGCTGGGCCTGCTCTGAGGCCAGCCTGCAGGGCAGGGAGAGTGGGCTTGTCTCCTTCGTGAGTTCCACGCTGCTGGGTCATGGGCATGGACACAGTAGGTCCTTGTCAAACTTGCTCACTGACAGCTTCGCAAATGCTATTGGAAAAATGGTGCTAATAGACTTGCTCAACTCAGGGTTGCCACAAACCTTCAATTTGTGAAAAATACAATATCTGAGATGTGCAATAAATGAGGTACGTCAGTATTCATTTATCCCCTTACCTTACCTTTCCCACTTAATATACAGTCGAGATCTTTCTGTCTTGGCACATAAAGAGACTCCTAATTCTTTTTTATGGCTGCATAATATTCTACCATATTTACTGGAGGACATTTAGGATGCTTCCAATACTGTGTTATTACAAACAGGGCTGCAGTGAATAAGCTTGTACTGGGTGGGCAAAGTAGGTTTATAGTTGTTCGTATGGAAAATAATATAATAATTAATGAATACTAATACAAAAATAAAATTCCGTGTTTCATGTCCTCACACTGCAAACCTACTTTTGCCCCTGCTTGTGTAGACATCTTGCATATATATGGAGGTAACTTTACACATCTCTTACAAAAGAAATTTCTGAATCTGAGAGTAGAGTGTAGATTTCAGTGGATGCTGCCAAACTACCTGCCTCAGAGTGAACAACTGACACTCCCATCAGCAGCACATGACAGTGCCTGCTTGCCAACGTGCGATGTTGTAAAGTTCCTGGTAGTCGATCAGTATCTCAGTATATGCTTAAGTTTTCTATAAGTTTGAGTATTTTTCATATATTTTAAAGTGATCTGTATCTTTTTCCCTGTGAACTGTCTGTGTCCATTTTCCTTTTGTGGTGTCTGTTTTTATTGATTTTGGGGTGCTCTTTCTATATTAGGGCCAAACTTGGTGTGGGCTAAAAATTATATTTGTCCTAGTTACTGTTTTTGACACTTCCTTTTAAAAATTGATTTTAGAGAGGGAGGGGAAGGAAGAGAGGGAAGGAGGGAGCGGGAGAGAGGAGAAACATCAATTTGTTGTTCCTTTATTTATGCATTCATTGGTTGATTCTTGTATGTGCTCTGACTGGGGATTGAACCTGCAACCTTGGTGTATCGGGATGACACTCTAACCAACTGAGCTACTGGGCCAGGGCAACAGTTACTTTTGACACTGCTTGCAGTGGTTTTGCCATGCTGATATTACTTATTTTTATGTAACTGAGTTGACATTTTATTTTTGTGGTCTTTGGATTTTATGTCTTAATTTGAAAGGGTTACCCATTTCAAAGTTACAAAAGCATCCTCCCAAGGTTCCTCCTAGTACTTTGATGCTTTCATTTAATCAACTTGTCTTTGATATATCTGGAATTTGTCCTGATAAAAGTTGCGAAGTATGGATCCAACTTTGCTTCCAGACACTTGATGAGTTGTCCCAATCCATATGTTGAATAGTTCAGATCTTTTCCTCACTGACTGTCAAATACTGGTGCTAGATGTCCCACATGATTGGGTCTATTTCTGTAATCTTCACTCTATCATATTGCTGTATACCACACTTTTTAACTTATTATAGGTTTGAAATACGTTTTAATATCCAGTAGGGCTGGTCACCTTCTTTTTTTTCAAAATGACTGGCTACTCTTCCTTATTTTTCCAAATGAACTTCAGAATCATGTGTCTAGTTTTTTTAAAAAACATCCTGGTGCTGATTTTATTGGGAACATGTTTAAAGCTGTAAATGAACTCAGGGAGAATTGATATTTTTATGCTGTTGAGTCTTCCTACCCAGTAATGCTGTTTGTCTATTTGTCCAGGCCTGTCCGTGCCCTTTAGGAGGATTTTAAAGTTCTCTCGTGTGGATCTTGTACGTATCTGGTTACATCTTACGGCAGCCTGCCGGCCGTGCCAGTGTCCACGCTCACTTTCCTCCTTAGTGAGAGAAGTTTTTTAAAGCCGTGCACACAGCTCTAAACTGGAATCCAAAGCCTTCCTCAGCGCTGGCTGTGGTTGTGTGACTACGTTCTGGCCAATCGGATGTATGGAAGGAAGGGCCTTCGAAGGACGAGCCTTCCTCCGCCTTTTCTTTCCTCCCTCTGTC